GGTCACCTCCTAATAAATGTCATTATAGAAAATCTAAATGCTCATTTTAATTCAATACTTTTACTTTTAATACTTAAGTACAGAAAGTATCAACTACTTTAAGACTTTTACTCAAGTAATATTCCTAAAGGAGACTTTAACTTTTACCAAAGTAATTTTTTGGTAAGATACTTATACTTTTACTCAAGTATCACTTTGTGGTACTTTATACAACACTGATTTTTCTGAGTAAGGGGCCATCAAGGAGCCACAATATTCATAGAGGGGCTACATATTTATTCAACATGCTTGCACACAAATCCCCGGTTTTGGTAAGGTGTATAAATATAACCAGTCACCCATGTTCAAACACTTGGGCTGTGTCTGAATTCATGGGCTGCATCCTCATGAGTACACATTTGTTGGCCACACATGTCACTACCTCGCACTGAGTGCTGTCCCAATTCAAAGGCTCCTCCTCATGCGGCTAAGGAATGAGGCCCACAAAATCTTGAAAATCAAGGATACTTCCGAGTGTATCTCAGACCAATATTATCTTTACTGAAAATCTTTACATTCACTTCTTGCGTTGGACCTGTTTGAATGCAAAGGTTTACTAAAATGTAAAAAAAAAAAATTATAAACTGGATGAAAGTACAAGAAACGATGTGTTTCTCTAAAAAACGTAATTGCTCAGAGTTTCCGTTCACTTGGTAAAACTTACTTACTTACTTACTTACTTACTTACTTACTTACTTACTTACTTACTTACTTACTTACTGCAGATGTTAAACCTTTTGTTCTTGTATGAAACAAACTGATCCTCCATGGTTGCAATTTCCACAGTTCCTCCTTCAGTGCCTCATCAGGAGCATCATCCTCAAAAGTATTTTGTACAATCAAAAGGAAAAAAAATGTAGCTTAGTAAGACAAACATCTGTTTTCTAGAGATTTTTTTTTTGTTTTAATGAAAAAAAAAGTATTTCTTTTTGCTCATTGGTCACACCCACTTTAGTCATACATGAGAAGACAGGTCAGAGTGTGCTCCTCAACATGTCCAAGTTTGATAAAGCTCTTTTTTGTCTTAAACATATAATATAAAACATTTTATATAAAAGGTAAATGCTCATGTGTTACCGCTGTAATCTTCCTAAAATTCCATATTGCAAAGACAAAAACTGCTTCTCCTGTGAGAAGAAAAAGATTATTGTGTCAAACATTTGGTTACTGGCATTATTGTTTTTATCCACCATAAACAGAAGTTGTTTTCCTTTTAGTCCTGAGAGTGAGAAAAGAATGATGTTTAATGCCACAACAAACGTAAGGATTTTTCTCTGAAGACAATTCCAACCAGCAGAAAAGCAGAAGTTTCACTGCTGCTCTAACTGCACCACCACACTGCGAAGTTCATCCACCAACACTGCAGAGGACAAAGATCATAACATTTTTAAACAAGAAGTAAAAATTAAGGCTAAAATTTACTTTACTGAAAAGAGATATTCTTTGCCTGTCATGTTTAAAATTGAAACTTTTTTTATAAAACTATGAGTGTGGCTCCAACTAGCTGTAAACACAGGGATGAAAATGGTTGTGTACCTCCAGCTGTTGGTCTTTGGGCACTGTCGAAGGCCCTGCAGGTGCTGATCAGCTGCCCCAGGGCTTCAGGGCAGTCAGGCAGAAGGGGCTCTTGATATTTCTCCATACACACTTTCTTAAGAAGGTCATTATCTGTACAGCCTGGAAGAAGGGAGAGAAAACTTTAATAAAATCCATAAAGTCTACAAATGCATATTTTAGCTGCACTGGGATGTCTGTGTTTGTTTCTGTTAAAATGTGCCAACCTGGAACCAGAACGTTGCAGGTTTCATTCCATGTCATGCTTATAATGTCGCAGTGTCCTTAATCAAAGCACCTACTTTATTCCCTAACTGCTCCCTGGGTATTTAACCAGCTGCCTGCTGCTCCACCCGGGTGTGTCTCATGTGTGATAGGTCGAAAGTAGAGCACAAACTTGGTCATTGTGTGGTCACATAAAATAATAATAATACCCATCACTTTCAGCAGTGGGCACAATTCTGCTCATCTGCTAACGTGCCGATAGTGGGACTAACTTTTATTTGCTGAGCCGTTTAGCATTTGTCTTAACTTTTTTTATGTTTTAATTTTTTAAGCCACTTCAGTAGAAAACAGAACTGAATGTTAGTTTCTTAATTTCTTCATCATCAGTGACTTTTTAAATACTATAGTAAAGAAGAAAAAGAAAAAGAAGAGAAATGTAAGAACTGTAAAGAGAGAAACTGATAGAAATTCAACAGCATGTGAAATGTACACCAATAACACACAAGACAACACACCTGACATCTGACCATCAGAAAATGAAGAAAACAAACACCCAGCAACTAAACATATGTATGTACATATACTACACATTCTCACTCCCAACTCGTCACATATTGACGTTTAAGATAAGGTTCCCTCTGCGTCTTATTTGGACGCAGAAGGTACCCCCCTCNYGTYASTCCTTGACGCCCACGGCTTTTCCGGGTTGCGCCACCAGGGGGCTTTGGGGCGGGTGTCTGAGGTTAACATGAGGGATCGGGTTTAATGGTTAAGTTTAGGT